TTCACAATTTTATTTTATATATTACCATCAATTGCGTTGAGTTTCATTCATATATATGTATTGACCCCTTCTTTAAATTAGATCTGGCATATGCGGGATGAACTCCTACCACATGATCGCATACGAGCAATTCAAGAGGAATTGGCGGGATTCTTTCTTGACCACGTCATACCTGAACAAGGAGAATACCATGTGAAATTGAAAACTTGTTGATCGAATACCATGTGTAAGGGATGTTATATATTGTACATATGTAGCAGCGTCGGATAGATATACGAAAACTTGTTGTTCGACCAAGCATGAAGAAAGAGATGTCACTTCTCTCTATATATGTTCATGACGATCTTGTGTAATTAATGGTTTCCTTTAGTTGCTTACTAGCTAGCGTCGAGTTCTCTCTATATGTGTAGTAGCTAGAGTCGACCAAGCACGGAAAAAGAGAGGTCACTTCTTTCTATTAGCTCGCTAACACAATATGAAACCCCTAAATTAACCCTCCAAAACCCCAAACCCTCCCCCCCTTCCAAAAAAACAAAACCCCCAGCGACTGCAAGCTGCTGACGCGTGGCCGCCTTTTGGTCCCGGTTGGTGTTACCAACCAGGACTAAAGGTGGAGCCTTTAGTCCCGGTTGGTAACACCAACCGGGACTAAAGGTCCTCCCTCCCCCGCCCCAGGCAGCGCCACGTGGAGGGCCTTTGGTCCCGGTTCATAAGCAAACCGGGACTAAAGGTTTTGGGTATTAGTCCCGACCCTTTAGTCCTGGTTCCAGAACCGGGACAAATGGCCCTCTGGAACCGGGACAAATGACCCTTTTTCTACTAGTGACTTCTCATAGGAGATACTTTCAGATAGACATAATCTCCTACTTCGAAAATTAATTCTCTTCTTCGATTATCTGCATAGCTCTTCTGACGAGTTTGTGCCACTCTCAAGTTCTCTCTACTCAACCTGGCTTGTTCCTCGGCATTCCTGAGCACATCTGGTCCAAAGACTTAACTTTCACCCGTTTGATTCCAAAACAACGGTGTTCTACACTTACGCCCATACAATGCTTCAAACGGTGCCATCTTTAGACTATTCTGGTGATTGTTGTTGTAAGAGAACTCCGCATACGGTAAACTTTTATCCCAACTAGTACCATACTGCAATGCACAAGCTCTCAACATATCTTCAAGAATCTGATTGAGCCTTTCTGTCTGTCCATCAGTCTGAGCATGATATGCTGTACTGAAATTCAACTTCGTTCCCAAAGATTTATGCACTTTCTGCCAAAAGATGGACATGAACTGCGGACCTCTATCAGACACAATCTTCTTAGGAACTCCATGCTTACATACTATTCTTTCCATGTATAGCTCTGCCAATCTTGCCCCTCTATAAGTAGTCTTGACAGGCAAAAAGTGAGCGACTTTAGTGAGACGATCCACTATTACCCATATAGAATCATAACCTTGCTGAGTGTGTGGTAATCCCACTATAAAGTCCATTCCGACTTCTTCCCATTTCCACTCAGGAATCTTCATTGGTTGCAACAAACTAGCGGGTCTCTGATGCTCGGTCTTTACCCTCTGACAAGTGTCACATATAGCTACATACTCAGCCACATCTCTTTTCAATCCATACCAGCAGTACTTCTCCTTAAGATTTAGATACATCTTAGTACTTCCAGGATGGATAGAATAGGCTGACTCATGTGCTTCACGCAAAATTGTATCATGAATGGCTTTCACCTCAGGCACACATATCCTTTTTCCAAACCATAAGGTTCCATTCTCATCTATTCTGAAGCCAGGTGCTTTACCAATCACCACATTCTCAGCTATCTCCTTTAGATTTTCATCTTCTAGTTGACCCTTACGTACTTTTTGCTCCAACGTAGGAATCACTTTTATCTCCATAGCACTAGCAACAATACCAAGGTTTAGATGTTGCAACTCCGCATACAACTCTTCTGCCTCTGGTCTCAACTTACGATTGTTGTCATATTTCTTCCTACTGAGAGCATCAGCTACAACATTCGCCTTACCTAGATGATAATGTACCTCCGGTTCATAATCCTTGATTAACTCTAGCCAGCGACGTTGTCTTAAATTCAGACCTGTCTGAGTGAATATATACTTCAAGCTCTTATGATCGGTGTAGAAATCACTCTTGTGACCAATCAGATAGTGTCTCCAGATCTTCAATGCATGTACCACAGCTGCTAGCTCCAGATCATGAGTAGGATAATTCAACTCATGCTTCCTCAACTGTCTTGATGCATGCGTCGGTGGTGGTGACCTCATGTCCGCTCGCACCGTGTTCGATGAAACGCCAACGAGGGTCAAAAGCTTCGAACCGCATCGGCATCGCTCGGAGTAGCAGCGGGTACACGCTGGAGTGCTGGATGTGATGCTTGGCCATCTCCAACTCACGAGCGTGTAAGAGAGAAATCATGAGACAGTAATGATTTAATTTGGTTTTGCAATGTTTTTATTTTAAAAATAGTTGGTTTATCTTTGTAAAATAGTTATTTACATGAGAATTATTGAACAAAATAGTTTTTAAAGAGCAATTTGCATTCAAACAGTCTTCATTCGTAACGAAGCTACGAGTTCACATTTGCTCTTTTTCCGCGTTTGAAAATTGATGGCAGTTTTACTTAACAAAGCAACAAAATTGTTCTTTTTTACCACAGCAAAAAGAAAAGAAATATCCGGGTGTTTTCTTTTTTTCATTACTAGTCTTTTTATTCATCTTTTTGGGCTGTTAGGGGCTGGGGAGGTGTTCAGGCTAGGGCTTTTATCATTCCGAACGAGTGGGTTCGACTGTTCCCCTCCCATACCGAACGAAACACTTGATCAGGGGTGCTCCCAAACCGATCGTTAGCGCCAATCGGGTCCTAAATTTAAATATATTTTTTTGCCATCGCAATCCTCAATTGTCATGACAAATTTTAGCTAAATATAATGGCAAATTTTCACTTTTGTTGCCATGGCATTTCTTACTCTTTTTATTTGCCGTGGCAATTTTACAAATTTTCATGCCTAAATTACCTATATCTACATGGAAAATATTTAACTATTATTGCCATGGAACTTTCACATTTATTTGCTTACCAATACTGCCTTGGAAAATTTACTTAAACCGCCTTGGTAATTTTTACTACATGGCTAAATTATCTATATCAACATGGCAACATGAAAATTTTCACTTTCATCTTTTTTCAAGGGATTTTACTTACAAAGCAACTTGCCATGACATTTTTTCTGTGCCATTGCATCTTTTTGTCCATGGAAAAATAATTTTTGTGAAAGACGAATGTCATTCTCTGGTTTGCATCAATGGGATTTTTTAGTTCTCAATTTCCCCCTTTTTAATGGCAATTTTTTTTGCATAGCATAGCAAACTCTGGTCTTTATTTCACAAGCTTAAAATATGTCTTTTAGTCACAGTACAAACTGGGCCATATTGGGCTCTGTGCTTTTACCCCTCTTGATAACCCCTCTTGCCCTCCCTCCTATAAAAGCCGCCCGCACTCCATCGCCTCGCCGCCGTTCCCCGCAACCCCCTGTCCTCTGTCAACCCAATCTCACATCGATCACCCGGCGCCTCGTCCTCCTCTCCAGATCAGATCTTACGCCCGCCCGCCCGAGGTGAGCACATGCTTGTACATCCCGATCAGCCTGGAGTTCGTTTCGATTGGTTGGTAGGCGCTGGTTCGTAGGTCTCGGATCCAGCCAGCGTGGTCTCCCTCCGCCTCCGGAGTTGCTCGTTCCGATTGTGGTTGGTAGGCGCGGCGCGGCGCCGTCTTGTATCCTGCCTGCCTCTGGCTTTGAGTATTCATTCGTATGAGGAGGAACCTCGACTAGGATAGGATTTAATTAGTTAGGGTTTGTTTGTTTGGTAACACCACCTAGTTAGGGTTTGTTCGATTATCCGTAATAAGGAATCAATATGACGTTTTAGGGTTTAGGTTTGCTTGGTTGTGGTCAGATTTTGGTTTCTCAAATGGTGTATGAATTCTTCAACTGTGCCTGTCGCGATTTTGGGCGGAAATTGATGATTTCGGGGGCAAAATCCGAGGGATTTTGTGGATGAAAGATGGGGAAACTTGGGGAAACCAAGCAAATCCATGGATCAAAATCAACAAAACTTCATCATGCCAACAAATCACAAAAAAAATTGGGGCTATTTTTGGTGGGGAAATTTCGAATTAGGACGAAAAACAACAAAATCAAAGCTAGAAAACGAATATTAATTTGGATGGAATTCATGCTATGTTGTTCGATTTCAGTTTATGCCTGCCAGAATGTTTAATTTTTAGTTTTATCAACTGTGTTTGAGCGTACTAGATTTTTTGTTGCATATTCATCTTCTTGCTCTGTTTGGATAGGTAACAATTAATATTTGGGATCCTAAAATATTTATGCACTGGCAGCACTTAACCTGCAGCTGCTGATTAATGTTGTAGTCATATGTGCTGCTTTCCAGCTCTCTTGTTTGGATAGGTATTTGGTTATCGTTTGGGTTTATTTATTATCGTTTGTAAATGCTGGTTTGGTTTTCTGTGCTCACTATGCCCTTGCACATGGGATGCAATTTTTTTATTAGCAATTATTTCCCTGCTGTTTAGTTTATTGTTTCCTTTGATGGTGAGGCATTAATTCTGGAGATGCAATTTTCTTGCTCACAATAATACAATGAATGATGGGATCTCTATCTACTTTGAACCAAATTATATTATATTCCCCCCTCTGTTAATTATTTTTCTGTTTTGGGTATTCATTCATTTTGTTTAGTTGCCTATCAGTATAAATACATGGCTGGATTGCTTTCACTTCATATTAATAACTATTCTGTCACACAATGCAAATATATATGCTGTCCTAACTAATTAAGTAGAAGCTTGGATTGGTGCTGTATGGTCTCTTCCTGACATTAAATCCTCCTCTGTTTGTGCTGTACCAGCTGGTAGCAGCAACTCTTCTGCTGCAGCCTTCTTCGCCGCCAAAAGGAAATGATGCTCTACCAAATCCACTCCCATGCCCAAATCCAAGACCTGCAGGCCCGCTCCGATGAGTCCATGCTTGTGAGACTTGTCTCTCTGGAGTCGGTGCGCATAGCGTGCGAGTCGTATGCACTCCTCCGCCCGCTGATCATGGAGTCGATGTTCTGGTCATGCTCAGGGCTGGAAATCCTCTCGGAGGTGGCAGGCTTGTCGGTGGAAATCCAAAAGCTCGAGCATGGACCCCAGCTCATGGTTCAGGAGGCCAAGCTGGAATGGGACGCCCTGGAAGCCTTCCTACTCATGAAGAACTCAGCTCTTGCGCTCTTACATATGAGGAAGAGCTTTAAGGAAGCCTTGGGCGTATTGCTTCGCGAGGATTATCTGGTCACAGCCAAAGTCAAAAAGCTGAGCAAAATGCTAAAGGATATTGCTGTTCATGTACTCAAAGGTAAATGCAACATTGTCTGGCTTCAGGAGCGTGTCCCATTGCTGGTCCAGCTGGTCACCGATGTGTTGGAGACCCCGGTTCATTTCTGTGATTCTGATGAGTCTTCTGATGAGTCTTCTGATGAGTATTCTGATGAGTAGACTTATCAGCCAGCTCGAGGCTGTTGTGATGAGTATTTCTTAGGGGCGTGGCAAACAGTTTAGAATCAAATGTTGTGATGTATTTCTTGGAACCTCCTTTATGTTTGGATGTGTTATTAATGGATTTTAAATGATATGTATTTTGGGTAGTGTTTTCTCATTCTGTGCTAGTCGGGTACAACTTGCAATTACTTTCAGTTTTTTTTTTTTTGAGAAATACAGTCACATGGAGGTATTCGCTCTTTTTGGGGAATATATGCCAAAAGAATATAGTATCTTAGAAAAGAGGCATACTTTAGAACGTGGATGGATTCACTCATTTTGCTCCGTATATAGTTTTCTACCAGTGAAATCTTGTAAAAGACATATTTAGGAACGGAGGGATCTGTGAGTGTCCATGATTAAAGCTTTGCAAATACCATAAACAAAACTTCACCTTGTACTTGAAGCTGAATTGAATTGAAATGTGATTAGCCTTCCACTAGCCAGCCAAGGAGGAAGGAGCCCACCGTTCCATCCTCCCTATCTCTATTTCCTCTTGTTGCGCCCACCTTCCCCTTCTCCTGACACGTAAATCTAGTTGAGGACTGCGGCAGATCTAGTTGCGTTGGTCACTGCGCAACAACCCTAGCCACGACGAGCTCCACCACCGTGCGGTCCGGGAGCCGCGCCGCAGTCATCAACTAAACTAGGCTGCTCCACCTTGCCGTCACCAGCCCCTTCTCCGCC